CGCACAGTCACTTCAAAATCATCACCGTTGTGCTTTTGTGCCTATGTGTACGTAGAGGAGTTTTTTGACGAATTATGGCTTCCCATTCTTTTATGCGGACACAAAGTGGTCTACCCGTTCCCAATATATTCGTCACCGCATGGGTTACATGAGATCGAGTATGTTATACCTGAACTCATGGAATCCCCGTCTCTCCCGTTTGGAAAGATCATACAGTTTTCTGAACTGCACAAACGATCATAAACGCGATTGCGGCATAATTGACGTCGTAGGGTATTAGGTGGGAAGTCGATGATCGCCATATAATTTCCAAAACCACTTTTTCTTAAGCATCTCTTAATGGAGTAACTTATTTCGTTTGGCATGAAGGGTAGCTTAAAAGGGATCTTATTTGCGTCCGAAACATTATTTTGGGAAACTACCCTACGTTTTTGTCTAACATAAGTGGCTTCTACTTCGTACCCATTGGAAATGGCTATCTTTCGTGCCAGGTTTTGCGATTCCTTCCTTTCCTCTTCTCCTGTACACACATTCTTAGCCGTATGGTTCATGTTTTTGATAAGTGCTTTTTTCGTGTGTGAAATATTAGGAGAGGTAGTGAACTAGTATATTTCTTACTACTTGGCTTACGATACCATTTTGTTATATAGCCACTTTCTGAGAGATTTATTTGAATGTTTAAGAATGGAAGCCAGTTCTTGGTTAGTTTTTCCGGCATGAAATTTATATACTCTGACTGTCTATTTAACGATGCAAAGAACCCGTCCATTGTCCATGCTCTTAGGAAGACGAAATGGCCGAAACATCAGCCATCGAGCAACTACACCAACAACAACGACAACGACAGCGAAGACCTACACCAACCTCGCGTCAGCTCAAAAAGATCAGTTTATAAGATCATATAAATAGATATCTCAACTACTACTTATGTCGAGTTTTATAGAAAGTCGATTTTTTGAATTATCTCAGCATGATTGTAGTTAGTAGTTCTCTGCCTTTTGCAAGAATTCCTGCGCTCCTCTTTTCCTATGTACGTTCTATACTCTCCTAAACACCATTCCATGTCCTTGGTGCATACACAACCCTTGTGCCTCTTCTTTATGAGGAAAACCAATCGTCCGCTAGTCGTACTGTTGTCAGCGTTTGGTGAAGTTGTATAAGTTTTGCAAGGAGTTTTTAAACATATGCTGAATATTTTGCTACCGAGGTTAAATGACGGTTGGTTTAAAAAGTCATTTGCTATTTCCTGGGTGCAAGCTAACATAGTACCGACTGCTGCAGGGTGGATTATCCGTTGAAAAACAAATTATTATTAACGGACAATCATATCAACAACAATCGCCCTGTATAAAAGAGCACTCCCGCGTGAGCATTCCTCATTAGCGCGGTGTTCACTGAAGAAGACCCCGTCTCGGTACGACAACGAAGTCGCCACTTCGAGATCACGAACAACTGTGGGCCACCGACACGAACCATCGGCTCTGATGAAGACAGCGACGTTGGCCGAATAACCCAACAAACACATATTGATTATTTCCAAGGAACATTACGATGCTTGCCACTTAATTCTAATATCCTGTCGTTCTAGCAATACCCAAGCGTCATTATAGCGATTGGAGATTACAAAACAACGAACTGGTTCTCAAAAATGTTGCTGAACACTGCACGCACTGAGAGGTCTTCGAGGCCAAGGCATTCTTGCACCTCATCGATGGCCACACACTCTAGACCGCACACTCTCTTCAACAGCAACAGGATGCTATGTGAAAATATGTTATTCGTAGCCTTCTAAAGATCAATCACTCTAGTGACTCCCACTATACAACTATATTACAGTTACACCCTATACAGGTCTCATCAACTAGTTAGCATATTTAAGTAGGGCAAATACATCTGTTTTCTTCAATGACAAGGTGTAGATGTTGCCACTCTTTACCAGCTGCAACCAGTCGTCACCACAGTAAACACATCCGAAAAGTGCGTTGTGATAAGTTTTTACATGTCAAACCGTTTTCATCGCATTCATCATCCACGATGGTCTTTGAAGATTTTGCGTCCTGTTTCATATGCTGCTTGAGGATTTCGTTTCCTTCATTAATGTCCTAGAATACTGACCGAGGCAGTTCGCCTAGTGGTCTTGGAGATAGCCCGGCAAAACTTTCCCACGTGGATTGGAGAAAATTGTTGGTGAGGAGATCGAACTTGCGCCTTTGATTCCTGATCGACGGCATCACTAGCCGCTACGCTATCCCTGCTTTTTTTCGCAAATTATTTATTGTTAAGAATAGTTTTCAAGCCTTGATGCACAACAAATTAACTCGTGTTGGATATATTATCAATTACTTACCTGATACTTGAATGGTCTGTCCTCACTGGTTGTACGGGCCCCAGCACAATCTCCATTTTTGGGAGACTTGCTGATTGAGCTACCGTGGTTCCCTGGAGTCCCGAGGACAGCCTGGTCAAAGTCTGCTCCCACGTAGTTACCACCACATGCAGTCGCAGCCCTTGTAAATCAGAGGGAGATTTGCCAGCATGCGACTTTGATACCAGAACGGTGGTGGATCCTGGTATTGGTTTACTCCCAGCTAGGCTACCTGAAGGAAATCATCAATTAAATACAAAAAGTGTGGAAAATGTACGATCGCGAAGGAAATTAGTTAATAAGAATTCCTGCCGGTACCATTGTCCTTTCCTAACAAACGAGTGGAAATGTGCTGACGTTGGACTCAGTGTGCTGAACATTTTATGCGGTTTTGTAAATGTTCTATGAATAGAAAATGAAGGAACGAAAACTTTGTGACCTTCTCGTCCGAAAGCAACTGTTCATAAGATGCCCCATATTTATCGGTCGATGTTTGTCCTTCGCTCTTATCAGCACTAATAAACCGTACCAGCAGGTTGTACAACTAGTACAACTGTACAGCTGTCTTTTTCACTGTTCAATTATTGCTAATAGTCTTTTGCTTTAAATTAATCTAGTTTTTCTTTGCATTAAAGACCTACTTAGTAATTTTCTATACTTCCATTCTTTTTTTTTCGTTTTTCCCAATCGCCGAATACATATCCCTAAACGGTAAACGATCAGCTCTGTCAGCAATATCACCACCTTCCTGTTAACAACCTACCATAGCAACTCTCTTCATCTCGATAATTCTAGTTTAAGTATTTTTTATAGAAGCAATTTAATATAGCACTTATGCAGTGCAGTGAATAAGGGTGCCCTACGAAAATGTGTGATCATTGGTTCAAACCAGCACCTTTCGATAACTAAGCTTTGCATCCCTGCAGGGTCGTAAAATTAGTCCCGAGCTTCTTTGCGAGTATAGAAGTAGATCGTTGTATAAGCCAAATATACATTTGTTCACCTCTGTGGCGCGACGAATGCAGCCAAATGCAAGACTCCAACTTTAGAGATCAATCAGCACCGATTTATCCTTTTTGTGATCATATCCGTTATAAAAAATGTTTAGTTCCTTGTAGAAGTTTTCTTTCATTTTTTTGCACGACTCGTTTTCACAACTACTGTGCGTATCCCAGCACTTCTTTCGTTCAGTTCATTTCTCTGCATCCATCATCCATTAAATTCTTCAAGCTATTAGCGTTTGGTGTGGGATGCTTCTTGAAGATGCTCGTCTCCTTCATGAACGTCGTTGAATACTTCTCCAGTATATTTTCTCTGAAATCCTAGGATAGCCGGGCCAAAGCGCTCCACTTGGATTGTAAGCGAGTAAACTGTTCCCAGGCAAATGCAATACGAATTGTCAGACTCGAGAAGGATGAGAAGCTTGGTGAGCTCAGGGCTGGATCGAACCAGCTCCGTAATCGTGATGAATAGCGTCGCCGCTCTTACTCTAGCACTAGTTTTTTGATAATTCAAGCGAATAAATCAAAATACTGGCTTTCTATAAGACTCCGCATTAATTTTTTTGAATTGCTCTTGTTGAGCTGAGGCGAGGTTGTAGCGGTAGTTGCTTTTGTTGTTGTTGTTGTTGTTGTTGTGATTCAACGGGTGATGTTTCGGCAACTTCTCCTTCTTCACATCCCTAGTATAGTTTATGTAAGGCTATCCGTACAATTTTGTTAACTACCTATAGTATTAAAGAGGATCTATTATATAAATAAGCGCCAGTCTGTTTAAAAAATGCTTGCAGTTTTACTAGGTTAGGGAAGACCAATCTATTCTTCAGGTGGGATGACAGGTGAAACTGAATGACTGGAAGACGAGTTTATGTATGTGATTCGTAATCTTTTGTAGTGGTCTTACCACTGTTTTTCGTATTCAGTGATCTCTGCAATGTCGGAAAAGCATTTTTTTATTTAGTACCAGATCCGCACTGCCTGAAATTTAAAACACGAACCAACTTGCATTGTGACATCCTCAATAAATGCAACTGTATCGTTGCTGATGGTGGCTGCTGATGGCACTGACTGATCGATAGAACTAGATGAGACAGGCGAAACGAAGGGCCCGCATGGTGTGGTGGTGAACGCGTTACTCCCCGGAAAGGACAATAACACGTTCGTTCCCCACCGCAGTCACCTGTGGTCCGGAGTTTTACAAATCTCTCAGCATCATTGTGGTTGTATCACACGTAATACCCTGCTGTGAAAAATTGCAATAGGCAGTAAATAAAAAGATAAAAAAGTTAACATTTTGTCGCTGCTCTTTTTTACTCTCTTTTATCACTCTCTTAGTTTTACTTCTCTCCTTAAAGTCGTACAAACTTCTCAGCTATCGTATAAGCTCATACTCTGCTAAAATATAGAAAGAACAAACAGCGATTATTTTTGCAGGCATGTTCTACTGGTGTCTACCCCTTATTCTACTGATAGCGTATATAATTTCTAGGTAAAGTTTGGAAATAATGTTCATGTTTTTAGTAGAAAATAATGTGCATGTATAGAAACCAATGTCTTACCCTAATGCTAACAGTATTTTTGAGAGTGGGACTTTCATCTCCTGTTCTTATCACGAAATATCACAGAGGTCTTCTAAGATGTTCTTCTTCTTCACTTTTCTCTTTTTCCTTGTTTTTGCTTCCTGGTTCGTCTCCTACCTCCTTCCTAGGTTTATCTGGGAACTGTTTCGAATAGAAGATCTTTCTTCGAAGGCAGTGCTCATTACCGGATGTGATTCGGGATTTGGAAGAGAACTAGCGCTTCGATGCGTCGACGAAGGATTTACTGTATTCGCCGGTTGCTTGACTGAGAAGGTTTAACTAGAGAATTTCTTATTTTTTTCTGCTTTCTATCCGACTTTTTTCCTTTGCGTTTTTGCCAGGCATTCAAGACTTTGATGTTATGTGGTTAGCTTTTAACCACTCGGTGGAAAAAAAAATCTAAAACAAAATCTGAAAGTCTCCTTCTTATGAATTTTCATAGACAAAAGCAATTACTTTCCTTATATAAGGAGTTGAGTACCAGAGAATGAATTCTTAACAGGTTTTCTGTGTTTCTGACTCTTTTTAGCCATTTCGCCATTCCATTTTCCAATAAGGCCATACTAACCTGCTTTTAGAAATTTATTTCCATCTAAATTCATGTTATGTTCAGTTTAGGGAAAAATCTCTTTGAGAACGGAGTGCTCATCTCCCAAATTGCACACCATCTCTCTGGATGTGAGATCTGATGAGAGCATTCGGAAAGCAAAAGAATATGTTCTTAGCCATCTTAAACAAGGATTACGTTAGTTTTAAGCTTGAGTACTTCAAAAATTCATCTTAACCCGAGAAAGAAGCTCTAATGTACCATATGATATGATTAATCAAATAAGATGACAAGAAGGATGTGGTTACGTGGAGGTTTCACAGTGATATGCTGAGCAGTATGAAGAAACTTTTATACTAACATGAAATCAATAGCACCGACGTTGGAAGATGTCTCTGGATTTTCTCAGCTTTCATTTTCTATTCGTCATGGCATTGGACATTCAGTTCTTTTGTTCTTAACAGGCTAAACACGGTGGTGAATATAAAATTTCCTTGATGATAGCCGAAAGTTTAGTATATTTCGGGACATAAACTGCATTATTTAGCGCTCGTGTATAATAGATATTGGTTGAGAATTTTGTCCAAATGAGCTGTTAAATCGATTTAGACGTTACCAAAAAAACGCCTAGACCTGCTGGTGTTGTGCTGGTGTTCGGCAGAGAAAGGGGTGCCCAGTCGTCCTCATAACGTAATATCAGCAGCACTAAAAATTTCTGTATGGGTTCCACCGAAACCGATATGGAGGAATACTAAGAAGAAAAACTAAGGAGAAGAGTAAGTTTGGGAAGGAAACAGAATTGGAGAACAAATTGGGAAAGGTAGAGCACACAGAAATAGGGGAGCGAAGGGAATTAAACCGGTAATGTGGAACTATTGACAAACACAAAAACCTCTTTTCCCTTCACTCGAGTATTTAACTCGCTGTGGTGAGTGTAGAAGGTTCCTGTTGAACTGCAATGTTCGGTGGAGTTCATCTCTACAGCAGTGTTCTCTAATCTAAGACTTCATAGGCTGCCACATTTGTTTCACAACTCCAGCCTAGAATAATCCTCTGCTTCAGAGTCCGTTGAGCTGCCTTTAACTACTATTTATCCAATCGAACTCAAAATAAAGGTTCTGAAGATTAACCCATTGCCGCAAATCACTGTTATTTTAACAATAACACGGTCATGAGCTGGCAATTGGTTACAGCCCTATAGCGCCATGGCACAGTTTCGAGAGATGTTTTCTAAAAATAAAATATAAAATGAGGCGTTTTTTAATGAAATATAAAGGTTGTGATAGGCTAAGATATTCACCACTGCACCATCGAAGAGGACCGGACAAGGTAAGTATTTGAACGATAAGCGGTAGATAGGAGCCGTTAGCAAAAGGATTCCTGGGAGTGTCAAAAGTAAAGCAGGAAAACTACCGACCCGACAATGATCAGAGTTCTTTATGTTGTCTCTGGAAGAAACACTTGATGCTTAGCGAGTCTCTAGAGCAAGCAGCACCCATTAGGCTACCCATGCACGCGACAAGGAAAAATAAAAGGCTCACTGGAGCCTGCTCGACTCACTCGACAATCAACAGGATGACGGGTGATACAGGGTGATGAAGGTGTTATTCTAATCGTGGACGCAAAACATTGGTCTAACTGCGTGCTTTGCTTTGTAATACATAGTGAAACAAATGAATTTGCTAAAATTCACTTAGTAGAAGGACAAAGAACTCTCGGCGTTGATCAGTCCCTGAGGGATGCGCCATGCATTCGACTTCACTAAGCATCATTTGGAGGTGATTGAATGCATATCTGGCCTTCGCGATGACTGATGATGGCCTACCGATATATCGAGCAGGTTCTCCTATCCTCCCAGATAGGTCTGGTACCAATTTGCTGACCCTGGAAAGATGAATGGTTTTGCGGGCCACGGGTACGAGATCGATTCTACGTGTGTGTTCCTCGGCGCCTCTGACCACTGCGCCACACGAGCCTCGAAATTTTTTTAGTATCACATGAAAAATAGCATATACAAAGATCTTTCACGCTGCGTCACCGCACCACTCGAATGTTTGCTGTTTATGTTCAGAATTATGGGGCGTCGTCAACAATGCCGGTATCTTCTCGTGCTTTGGTCCAGATGACTGGACGACCGTTGATGACTATGTGAGGGCCGCCGACGTGAATACTTTTGGTGTGATTCGAGTAACACAAGTACGTACTGCTTTCCTTTATTAACATTTATAAGTATAAGTAACATTTATAACATTTACAAACATTTTTTTGTTGATTGAGTTTCATTTTTGCTAATTCGATAGAAATAAATATCTGCCGTGTTCGTTTAGCTACGAGTTCTGTGAATTGTCCGTATCTTTCAGTTCATTTTTTTTTTGATTTTTTGGTTGTAGGCGTTTATTTTTGAAAAAAACGAATGACGTCAATACGTGATTTGACGAAAGAGAGTGAGTTGTTTCGAACAAGGGTAAAGGGATAACGTACGGCGTTGACCAGTCTCTGAGAGGTACGCGATGTATTGACTTAACTAGGCACCGTTAAAATGATTGAGTATTTACCAGCGCATTGATTTGTGGGCGCTTGCCAATGCCTCAAGTCGTTGATTTTATCCCTTGAGAGCAGTTTGGTTCCAATAGATAGATGGACGATAGATGGATACGATCGATCGGCTTGGTCAGCACAGGGAGTCTGGAAAACCTTTAAAACCAAAGTTCAACGAACAACGAAAGTCAAATTCCATTAGTGATTCATCTTTTTTCATAAAGTGCGGACACTAATAGAACTATCATAGTGATCTCTGAAAATGACTGCTTGAATTCTGTTTCATCTTTTCAAGAAATGCGAATAAAGAAGTGGATTTGCCTTCTCCACATGAAAGCGCGCTGCTTGCAACTACCACTGCACCACCGCCACTTAGAAGATGAAATAGAACAAGTCATGCATCATGGTTTACACTTCCAAAGCATATTTGATTTGTGTGGTCTTGTAAATTTCGTATTCAGAATAAAGCAACGAAAGTTCAGCCACTTCTCCTTTCCGATGGATCTCCCTCACAGAGGGATCTCAGTCCGGTTAGCAGCATGTCAAAGCAGCAGATAGAAGGTCAATGGAGGACCAAAAGCGACTTTAGACTGCTCTGAAACACTGGTGGATCCACATGATAACCTTCCTGTCTCTGTTTTTCCGATTAAGAAGATAATTTCAGTGTTTGCCACAGCGTACTCACGCATGCGAACGTAGGTGTTCTCGTTTATGCGGTTTGTATTCTATGAGTCAATTCGGCTAAGAGCCTGCAATCAAATGACTAGGAAGTGCATGCCAGGTGATTAGGAGTCGACTTCTGCGAATTTGTTTTCCCGTCTATTTATGGGATAGACTGGCCAGCTACCTGTGAGAATACCCAGTTTTCCCGATCAGAGGACGGCAAACTATATGCGGGTATCAATCGCCAAATATGGTAAAACAATTATACGTCATTTTCCTGACCCCGAAAAATGCCCGATACGGCATTGTTGGGTTGGACGAGTACGGAGGAGCTGCTAGAATATCAGACTCATTTAGACCGCTTAAATCGTAGAGGATTACAGTGACGATCAGCACCTACAATACCTGCACACTTGCATCCGAGTCCTTGATAGAAGACTTGATCATGCAGGCATGAAGGATAAGATATGACTTCATCAGACTGGCCGATACGAGAAGACGCCACCCATTTACCGCCATTTATGACACCGGAGAAAAGCTGTTTATCAGAACATGCAACAGCAGAGGAGTTGGAGGCGTCGGCGCTCTCGTTACGCGACTGTGGAAATGAACATCGATTCACTCGAACAATTAACAATTTAGCGAGTCGGACGTTTACGATTGAAGAGATGTGGATCAACACCGGCTTTGACAACATTCGTCATTTATCTACCGCCATCAAGCCATCGAAGTCATATCGTTGTACATGGACTTAGAGAAGTTGTGTAGGAAAGACAATACATTCTTTAAGTCCCACGTCCAACTTTCTATTAACCTCGGAATTGATTGAACAATTCTTTCTACTTCTGTTCAGCAAACATGAGGTGCTATTCCACTTCCCCATGCACGTAAAAGCTGACGTTTCGGCGGATTTCGTCTTCCTCAGAGCCTGGAAAGGTCATGCTGACAGCAACCTATTCGGCCAAACACCTTTATAACCAAACAGAGAAAACGCTAAACCAAGATTTCAATCACATTGAACACAGCTCTGCACACTCACCGCTTTCCATGAGTCTTCCACTGAGTATGTCGTGTGAAGATCAACCGCACAAAATTCACATGGAAGCGTAATGTGCCCCTCCCATCAGAATAATAGGTTTATATACTGCACACTATCACGCATGATAATGAGGCATTCTTTCCAGCGGTTCATTTTCGGATTTCTGGAATTAATCCAGAACGCCTCGAGAGTTTTGCGCGCTTATGTTCTTGATTCCTGCGCGAGGATCGTGACACGTACTTCAAAGTCCTCCCCGTTTTGACTCTGGATCCTAAGCGTGCCTAGCAGGGTATTTGGTTTATGTTTTCCGGCTAGGTGTTTTTTTATGCGGACACAGGAGTCTGCCCGTTTCGCCAATGTATTTGTCTCCGCACTCCTTACAGGAGATCAGATAAACAATACCCGAGCTCATGCAATCACCGTCTTTACCATTAGGGCAAATTATGCAATTTTGCGTTGCACATAGACGGTCATACAGTCGGTTACGAACTATCTGGCGCCTAAGATTACTCAGTGGCATTTCAACTACGTTTACCGAATTCTCTAGACCCGCCCTTCTCAAGCAGCGTTTTATAGCTGCGCTTACATCATTTGAGATAAAGGGTAGGATGATCTTTTGTCGCTAGAGTTATCGTTTGGGGGCCTCCGATTTCTCCTACACCTATCCCGAGCTACAGTTTCGTAGCCATTGGAAATGGCTATTTGCCGCGCCAAGTTCCGGGACTCCTCTCTCCTCTCTTCCCGTGCACACGTTGGTTGCTGTTCGAAACATGTTTCTTATGAGCGCCCTTTTCGTGTGAGAGGGGTAAGAAGAAAGGTAATGAACCAAGATGTTTTTACTACTTGGCTTTCGGTACCACTTCGTAATGTAGCCATTTTCAGATAGGTGAATTTGTACGTTCAGGAATGGAAGCCATTTTTCTTTCGGCTTTTCTCGGGCGAACTTGATATACTCTGACTGTGCGTTTAACAATTCGAAACATTTGTCCATTTTCTCTTGTGTTGAGCAAAGGACAAAGCAGTCGTCTACATACCTACAGTAGAATAGCGGCACGAGATCAATCACCGGTGCTTCCACCTTAGACATAAACGCAATGGCAAGACTTGGTGCCAGTCGTTGTCTCATTGCCAACCCTCTTATTTCAGCGCAGCGCTTTCCGGTCCATCTGATGATTAAGCAGCTCAAGCATTCTTTTAAGAGTGCCATCAACTGCTCTATCTTGAAGCCAAACATGTTTATTTCTCTTTCGTGTTGTAGAAGGAGTTCGAATATTGCTTGCATTGCGCAGTCATTCGACACGTTTGTATAAAGGGCGGCAACGTCGAAGGACTCCATCACGTACGCGCTGCTCAGTACGTAGACGATCCAAAAACATTTGGGTATTCGTAAGATAGGCTGGAATGTGTTTTCAACAGTTGGTTAAATATTAGGGTTAAAAACCATGTTATCCTGTCCGTTGGCCTGCCTACGCAGCTAATGAAAGGTCTAACCCTAAATAATGATCTATCGGTAGACACAAGATCATCGCTGGATACTAACTTATATGTTTTTATAAGCAAGTAGAAGACAGGACATGTTGGTGTTTGGCCGAATAGGTTGCTGTCAACATGACCTTTCCAGGCTCTGAGGAAGGCGAAATCCGCCGAAACGTCAGCTTTTACGTGAGTGGGGAAGTGGAATAGCACCTCGCGTTTGCTAAACATTCTTTAAGCTTATTAGAGATTTTGACGCTAAGACTGGGTGCAGAAGAACGTCTTAATAAAGTCAAATTGAAGCGAACGGTTTAAAGCCACACTCTCAGTGCTGGACGTGGGAGTTTCCCAATGAAGAATACTATAATAGAATAAACCACATCATAGTAAATTAAAGGTTCTCTCTAACCAATTTCGCCGCTGTTCCAAAATTCTACAATTCATTCTACGGTATCAGACCATCCCTTCCTTCGTGCAAGATTTCATTTCTCGCGGATAGGAGAAAAAGCCGCAGAAAAAAACCAACGCCTCAAAAACCACCATAAACTGGGATTTACACTGTTCATTGGTTGGCTATTTGGAAGATGCGTTCCTTACCTACCAAAGCTGAAAACTCGAAAGTCGCCATAAGACGTCTGTCTCCAGAAACACTCAAGCTGATACGCCAGCGTAGAATCGTACGAGCCGCAATCAACAGTGAACTAACGCCCTAACTTGCAAAACAATGCAGACAAGCGATAAAAGAAGATCTTAAAGAAAGAAGAGCGGCAGTAATGGTCGAAGCTGCAGAGGCTGGAAAAAGCATTTGCAAAGCCCACCGAAGCTTCTTTAACTACAAAAGCAAGATGATTGCACACAGACGCCCAAACGGAAAAGTTACAGCGTCCAGAAAGGCAATGGAGGAAATTATTCACGAATGAAACTCGGATCTCTTCGATAGCCAAATCCACCTTCCATCATGTAAAGTAAAGAAGGATAGATACGTCGTGCCACCGGTTCTACCTTCCGAAATCCGACATGCAATTTCGTCGGTGAAAAATCGAACAACAAGACGTCCGGACAGGATAAGATCTGAACACCTGAAGAACCTTCCGCGAATCCTCGTAAGCACACTGGCTCGGCTCATCACACGTTACCTGTCTGAATGCAAGGTCCCTACTCAGAAGAAGACCAGCAAGACCGCGCTGTTTATCAACAAGCGTGACCGCTGCGTTATCGGCAACTACCGACCAATCTGCTTGCTGTATGTCGTCCACAAAATTTTTACTCGAGTCATCCTAAACAGAATTGACAGTACACTGAGCGAAGGACGGTTATGTGGGCAAACAGGAATTCGAATAACAAGACTCAATGGTGTATCGCGATGGCACAAGCTACCACTCTGTGACACTTTCATTGATTTAAGTAATGCATTTGACCTAGTCGAGACAGAAGCAGTCATTGCAGCGCTGGACAACTAAGGCATCACTACTTAGTATATAAAGATTCTTCGTGATCTACATTAAAATTTCGCAAACAAATTGTCACCATTCCAGATCGAAATTAGCATCGACGTAAAAAGAGGGCTTAGGCGAGAAGATACTATCCCGTCAAAATTATTTACGGCCACCCTCGACATCGGCATGCGAACACTGGATTGAAATCACACAGGAGTGATAGTCGGTTGTCGGCGATTGCACCACCTCTTCCCTTTGCTAATGAGATTGTTCTTATAACACTACGCATTAAACAAGAGAAGCGAATGCTTGCCGACTTTGATAACGTGGCTCGTGGAGGGATTGGCCTTCAACTAAATTTCACAAAGCGTTTTACGAATTGGATTCGTATTCACCATTCACGCTCAACAGAATGAATATCTTCGATTGCTTCAGTTACGTCTATCTAAATCGGAAAATCAACATGGAACGACTTAAATCCAGACTTGAGCAGGAGAAAGCGATTGGGTTTCGTAGCTTCCAAGAGCATCGGGGATGTTGAAGAGAACAAGGAATTTCCGACTCCCTGCTCACTTCTTCGGCTCCACTATTCTTGCTGCCTTAACAAATGTGTCAAAAACATGGTCGTCTCGCAAGCAGGATGAGAGATCACTCAGCGTTATTAGACCCGCCGCCAGACAATGTTAGGAATAACGCTTGTCACACAAGCGAGGGAAAGGCGCCAAACTGTGGGAAGATAACATGGGCGGGACGCGTATAATGCGTGTAAACGACAACCGTTGGACACGAGCCATTAGTGACTGGGTTCCTCGGAATGTCAAACGCACTGCAAGAAGACCACCGACCCGATGGTCAGAGTTTTTCACGAAACCCTAGAAGAAAGTTATGATGCTCAACGAGTCGTCCGCTCGAATCACTCGACAATCAGCAGGACGACAGATAAAGTGAAGCTGTCTTTGAATTCTTTTTGGTATTTTTGTTTACCATAGTTAAGGAAATATTGGGATTGCACTAAAAATCTTCAGCATCGAAATTCATTTCGAATGAAATCGAAAAATAGGAGCTTGAACAAAATACTATGCAAAGAACCAAAAATCCCTACATTTGCTTTGATAATAGAGTAGGCAGAGCGTCCTTGACTATTTGCTCTCTTCAATTTTGTAACGTATTTCGAGCAGATGTGTTGCAGTGATGCCTTCTTAAACGATTAAGCTAACACGAAGTTGATAAAAAAAAACTTTATTCGGTTGACGTTTCGACGTCTTCGTCAGAGCAGACTGATCGCAGTCGATGTTCCATAGTCGTTCGTCCTCACTTTGTGAGTCTCCATAGTCGTATCGTATCTAAGAAAATGTTATTGATTAGCCATGCCTAAACTAAAGCAAATATGCTTTTCTCAAATTGTTACCCTCTTGCTGGCTGATAATGATGCCGACTACAGCAGGATGGATTGTCCTGGATTGTCCAGAGAAAGCAAGTTGTCATCAGCGGACGCTCACTATATCAACGACCATCCTGTATAAAAGGGTGACGCTCAGAAAGAAGATTCGATCCGATACCATTCCGAAGACCCACGCGGCGACGTCGAACGACTATGGACCATCTACAAGGGTCAGCCGGTTCTGAGGAAAACGAAGATGTCGACGCCCTAGCCGACTGAAGTTTTCCTCATCAAGGTTGTGTTAGCTTAATTATCTAAGACAATGTTATTGATCAGTGATGCCGACATTATAGCACAGTTGGTTTATGAAAGCTATAGATGTGGTTTAATTTAGAGCGTACGGTGTTACTTTTGTACATTGGTTTATTTTAGATGGACCTAAGCTTTTCGAAAGGATTCTATACTTTTGTCGGGAAATGATTAAGGCAGCTATGAGGTGATTCTGATTAACGCGCATAATATACCATAAAATCCTTTTTACTGTACCCTCTGAAATATTATATTTTATACAAGGTGGTAGGGCTACGTGTAGCATAATGATTCGAGGCGCGCTACAAAACATGCAGGGTCGTAGTTCGATCCTCTGCACAAGGACAAACAATTCCTTCCATTTCTCTTTTGGCAAAACATTGACCTCACATTTGTATGAGAGGATTAAAACATTGACTTGATACAGTGTCAAGTCAGTATATAGGCGAAATGTGTTCGCTACCACCTTCACGATAACACGAATGGAATCGAATTCGTGGCGCATCCACCAGGGATTAGTGAACGCCGGAATCACTATTTTTTCTAATTTATATCAGTTAACGCTAAAAAATGTTTTCAAAGTTAAAAAAGCGTTTTCAGGCTTTCAAAAAATATATAAAGCATTCGGAGGGAAGAATCGTAACGGTATCATCGGTGAATGGGCGCCTGTCAACACCAGCAGCTGGGCCTTACGTAGTCAGTAAGTTTGGCGCCGAAGCCTATATGGATGCGATCAGGTAACTTATGAGTTTTTTTTACCTCTCTCTTTACAAAGTTTACCACCTCGTAGTAGCCGGCATTAATGAGTTATTTATTGGGTGTTTAACCTGGGATAGACTAAAAGGTTTTTCCTATAAAAGGTAACAGAAGGCAAGTGTTATGCCAGGAATCTCAAAGAGTTCCTAACAGATAAAAACATGTGTCTTCAGATCGATAAGCAACAGCAGTTTATTATAAAAGCCAGATGCGCAGTCGTTAATTTTTGCGATGCTATGACAGAATTCAAATTCATGGTGGTTTCCTAAGGGCTTAATAACGGCTAGACGGTTTCGTGATTCTCAAAGACGAGCTGCACATTCACCTATGAATTTTGTAGCTGCATTCAAGCAGACGCTAATAAACACTCTTGAAGTTTTTCTCAGTTATTCGAGTATAAATCGTACGATCTCGAATATTTGATGCTGTTTAGCAGTCGTGAATAAGTGATTTTCTACATGATTGAGCTGATACGAGTGGGGATATAAAGACTTTTAATCGGCTAACGTTCCAGCGGAATCTCGGATAAACTTCGCTCCTGTATAAAAGGGCTTTGCCTATGCCTATGACATTTTTAAATGTTACCATACTCCACCAATTACTTAGATAGCCATCTTCTCTGGTTATGCGGACCCCAGCATAATTTCTATTTTTTTCGGAGTTTCGCTGGTTTAGCCATTGTAGTTTCCTAGAGCTCAGAGGTCAGCCTAGCTAAAGTCTACCCTCAGCATTCCAGGCAGTCGCCGCCGTTGTGGATCAGAGGTAGACTTGCCACCATGCTACTATTTCGATAGTAGGACGGTAGAGGGTCCTGGTATTGGTTTACTCACATCTGGGTTTCCTGGTGGAAACGCCTAACACCAGCTTGGTAGACGCTGCCAGGAGGATGAATCCCCCCGTTGTACATCGCAGCCCAACACCCAGGAAGATCTTCAGCCCCGATGAGGCGGTAAACCGTTGGAGGGACATCATGAAATAGGAAAAAAATAAAGTTTTCGCCTTTTTTCAAATACGGTGTGTTTTCGTGCGATTTTTTGAATTTTAGGCTAAAAATGTTATGGCATGAATAAAAGTAACGACGTGATCGAATAGTTAACGAATTCTGAAGACGTTTTTAACAAAATCTCTGTTTAAAATTACCATGTCATTGTTATATTATGTGGCTGCTTTGCTAAAGCCATAATAAAAATTTATTGCAACTTCGTGCCAGCTCATCAATAAACCAAAGTTTTAATTGTCTTTCTAATACTTTTTCATTTTTCTCCGGTTGTCGCAATTTTTCCCGTTCCATATGCACCATAAAGGTGAATAGCAACATTCCATGCGATCCGGTTCCGTGGCTTAGTTGTTTATCTATTTACTACTTGATTATTATTACGTTGGATATATCTCCTGTCACCTACAGTCTCGTTGATCGTCGACTGACTCGAGCAGGTGCCAGTAAATCTTCCATTTTTCTCTGTCGTGTGAAAGATTAGGCCAGTGGGTTCTGCTCGCTTTAGGGACTCGTCGAGCATAATAACTTTCTTCTAAGCTTTTCGTAAAAAATTCTGACCAGCGAGAACCAGTAAAAGAAGCATTGGATATAAGAATTGTCTATTTTTACCTTAACCTTTTTATTTACTCCCTATTCTTTTTAACGGCACGGTATCTTGCGAAATATAACTACTATGGGTTAAGGTTGTGATTATAACTTTAGCCTGAGGTTAACTGTCTTCAATGTCCATTTGGTCTCCGCAGATTAATACCGTTGACTGGTGATTGCTGATAGCAAAAAATCAATAGAACTAGCTGAGAGACAGGCGAAACGAAAGACCCGCATGGTGTGGTGATGAACGCGTTACTCCCCGGAAGGAACAATAACGCGTTCGTTCCCCACTGCAGACACCTGAGGTCCGGAGTTTTGCAAATATATCAACATTATAAATTTTCAATTATTATTGATAACATCTTCGTATGGTTGATTCCTAACTTAACCAGTGTTAGAGCGAAGATTAGTACTTAGATTTGGCTTCGGACCCGAGATGTTGATCTTATGCTGTTTGATCTTATGTTATCAACCACTTCAACCGGGGTCCTTGCTGTGGCTTTCACTCAGGCAGTTTTCATTTTTTTCTTTTTGATTGTTTTCGAAATAGATACGAATAGAAGCTCTTGTGGTCTTTAAAGAAGTTTATTCTAAGGAAAGGGAAAAAAATCAGTGCTATCCGGCAATGAAGCCAGTTAAGCTGGAGCTGCAGTTGAACTCGCATTGCTTGAATGTTAACTTCATATCACAGCGTAATCTCCTATGAAAAAGATTAGACAGCAAATAAAAGTTAATATATCGTGGTTTTAATCACCATTAATTGCCAATATTAATGTGGATTAAGTCATATGGTTAACGTCTGTCTTTGTTTTATCACTGTTGATTAGCACTCGTTGGTTAGCTATCGCTCTTGCTCTAAAAGTTCTAGTATAGTCCTTCTACTTTCTTTTATTCAAATGCAATTTTACAACGTCTAATATTTGGATTTATTTAACACGATGTTTAATATTTTAAGCCATAATGGACATTTGGTGATTAAGCTATACTTGAGATAAAGTCTAGTCAGCGAAATTCTTTTTTTATTATTTTATTTACTGCCTACTCTTTTTTAATGGCAGAGTGTATTGCGAAATATAACTTCTATAATGATAAGATATTGGCAAAACTCGGGACCGCAGGTGTCTGCGATGGGGAACGAACGCGCTATTATCCTTCCCGGGGAGTGACGCGTTCAGCACCACACCATGTGGGTCTTTCGTTTCGCCCAATTTGGGCTCCCCAGATCAATCCTGCTCACGGGTGATTGCTGAAGGCAAAAGATCGATAGAACTAGTTGAGAGAGAGGCGAAACGAATGACCCGCATGGTGTGGTGGTGAACGCGTTACTCCCTGGAAAGGACAATAGCGCGTTCGTTCCCCACCGAAGACACCTGCGTTCCGGAGTTTTGCCAATATCTCAGCTTTATTGAAGTTTCTTTTTATTATTGTTATATCCTTTAATTTTAAGGCAAGAACTATACGGATTTGGAGTGAAGGTTTGCATCCTAGAGCCGGGTATCTTCAGGACTGCTTTGATCGATAAGCACGCGATGATCAGCCGAGTCGAGAGTGTACGTCTTCAGTACCTTTGCGGTGTCCTTTTCTGCAAGAGTTCAACTTATACCCTTTAGAATAAAATAGAAGGCCTTTAAAAATTCTAAACGAATAGAGTTTTCTGTCGTATTTTTGTTGAGCAAACGCGAGGTGTTATTATTCTTTGTTCACGATTAAGCTGACGTTTCGGCGGATTTCGCCTTCCTCAGAGCCGCTTCCTATGAGGTTTCCACTAAGTATGTTTTGTTTTCTGAGTGCCACTAGAGTTTTCTGTGCTCTTTGAAGAAGAAGGATAATATGTGTTAAGCAGCAAAATCCTAATGAAAATCATTGAATCGTCTTAGGTTTGGTCAAAACTCGACGACGAAACAAAAGAGGAATACGGTGAAAAGTATAAGAATTATTGTAAGTTTGACAGTCTTACTGAAACTGCCTGCAACAAATTGTCGTTGCAGAAAATCAATTATCGATTTTGTTTTTTATTTTATCCTTTGTTCTCTGTTTTAGTCGAAAGAATGTGGAATGAACGTTACTGGGAGATGAGCTCATCGAAGACACACTATGTGATCAGCAACTACATTCATGCGCTAACAGCGAGATATCCCAGACATCGGTAATGCGCAACGATGAATCCTGGACTTTAGAATGACTTTTTTTATTCCTAGAACACAATCTGAGTACTCCTGACGCTCCTTTTTCTTTAATTACATGCTATGACGAAATGGACACGAATGATCATTTTCTCATTCATATTCTAGAACTTCCTAATAGCTACACACTCAATTGGGGCAAATACTGACTCAAATGGGTAATGGAACATTTTTTGATCCATTTTTCCTCTTTTCACTCTTTGTTCTAAACATATGCACCTAAAACAGATAGTTGGTACTTGTGCACTAAATGCTCATTGCTCCTACATAAGCCATAAAAATTGGTTTAACTCCTAGAATCAATAAATATAGTCCAGACTTTTCCTTGCCTGAGTTAAGTGTTCAGTGTTGACCAATTCCCTAAGGATGGTTTATGAATTCGACTCCATTCGTATCACAGCATTATTGATTGCATATTTGGTCTATGCATTACCTTGCAGGTCTCTACGGATGTATAAGTAAGAACTCTTTTTTTGTCTACGCCAACAATTCTGGGGCAAACCTATCTACTCCGGAAAGATGGTCGGGTTAGTTGGCATGATACTGGGATGAACCAGGGCTTTTGCCTGTTGGATGACATCACTATCGTTGCTCTACCCGTGTTTTTTTTTGCGCTGTTATCCTTTATTTAAGAACTTTTTCAAAGAACTTTACGTAAAAATTCTTACAGCGTCTGGGGTGATCTTATCACTTCAGTTAATAATAACATCGTATGGAAATCTGGGAATGTTTAGCTACTACTGTGGATGGGATGCGATTCTGGTGTTCATTCCACTGTCATTGCTGCCGACGTGGTGGTCCGATTTTGTGATTCGATGCATCGGCCATCAAGACGTTTTGCCTGCTGTCATGGAGAAGCAGCTGAAGAAAACGAACTAAAACCACTTAACCGTTCTTCTGGAGATGACCTTCTGGAATCCGTTGGTGCTTCTTCATAGGCAAATAACTTAGTGTTGTTTTGTGCCATGTTCATTCAACTCATCAACTCATCAATCAACTCTTTGACGTTCTCCAGTCAATTACGACATGTTTTCAATAAAGTCGATACGAAATTCGTGTCTTCATACCTTCGTTTTTTGCTTTTTTCTTGCCTTTTTTTTATCCTCAAGGAACTTTGTGACTTCCAGTTTTCTTAGAAATTTCTTTCGACCACGTAGAAAATCCTACTTACTTAATATTCTTTGAAACCCACACTTCCATTCAGAAGCCTCTAAACAAGACCAGACAGTTTTTGGAAGCACTTTTTACAATCTCTTCTCCAAGATTTCGGCCTAAGTAATGGTAAAAATTATCGTGATGGTTGTGATCTAAAAACCAATATTTTTTGCGACATGTTTTAGTTCACGCTGGATTTTTTCATGACGAACGAAACCGTATAAAGTTTTCCTATAACTTCACATTGTGTTTTTCTCAGATGTTTAATGAACCTCAACTGAGATCATGTGATATTTGGACAAGAAAGGGTGAAACTTCTCATTTTTTGTAGAAAACCAGAGCAAAATAAACACTCATGTGGTGAAAAAGGAGAAGTAAAACTAAAGAGGTTGATAAGATTTAATAAACTATCAGAATCTTAAGGGCACGTGTGGTGCAGTGGACCGAGGTGCCCTGCAGTACACATGGATCAATCCCGTAGCCCCAGTCTCACTAAACCTTTCATCCCTAAAGGGTCGGCAAATTGGTACCAGACATGTTTGGGAGGATAGCAGCACTGGCTGGGTACATCGGTAAGCCACCGCGGATCATTGTACTGGCTGGATATGCATTCAATCACTTCCGACTATGCTTAATGAAGTCGAATGTATGGCGCATTCCTCAGGGATTGATCAACCCCAAGAGCGTCATCTTTTATCATTTTTCTCAGCTCTTGGTTTATCGATAGGGTAACCTGAGATTGTCACCAACCATTTATTATGATTGCGCCTACAACGTTTTCTTAAGAGCATCAATGACTCTAATCGAGTGTTTAGAGTATAAGTGTTGAGAGTATAGTTAATCTGGACGACGTGTTCGCCTTCAGAATTATAATCACCCATAAAGGGTGTGAGCAACAAAGCATTTGACGTTGACCAAACCCGTAGTGATATGCGTCATGCATTCAACTCTACTTGTTGTATACCGGAGAAGAATGACTTTGCCCCACTTAAAATTTCATCCTCTAATGTGTAATTGTTTAATATAGATATTCCCCTCCTGCAATTTTTAATGAAAGTGTCAAAGCATGTTCGGTTTTGTTAGTTTAATATCATGTGGAGCTAGCCTCAGTACCCAACACTCATTGGACTTCGGTAGGGATAATCGATGCCTTAGTTTATTAATAAGTTTAGACGACAATGGCACAGATTTTTATCGTTTCTACCGTTTCGGGACCATCGTTTCCGTCAGAGCCGCGGCAGCGACGAACGGCGTTAGATGATCAGTAGAGCGAGACTCCTGCAATGTGTCAGTTAATATTGTCTCGGCTGCTACAATTTTGGCTATCACCATGAAAACGAATAACTTTAGAATCTCGATGATAATATAGTTAATTTTATCTACATGCACATCTTTTTCATGGCAGGATACGACGTGAAATAGAATCACAACGACGCTGAGATACTTGCAAAACTTCGGACCGCAGGTGTCTGCAGTAGGGATCAAATCAGACTCACTATTACCCTATTCGGGAGCTAAAGCGTTTATACTACGGCTTCAGGTTAACTAGGTTCAATGCCGATTCGTGCTGTCCAGATGAACCCCGTTGACGGATGACCCCGCTGATAGTACCTATAGGTTAAAACAACTGAGAGGAAGACGAAGCTAAGGACTCGCATTGTGCGGTGCTAAATTCCTTAGCACCCGGAAAGGGTGATGGCGAATTCTATCTCCACCGCAGGCACCTGCCGCCCTCAGTTTTGCAAATAAGTGGATGATAATTCAATGAAATTACGAAACCAACAACTTTAGAAATCATCACTGTGAACAGTCAGCTCCAAAATCACGTGGTTTTGTCGAGAATTTGCTCGTTTGGAGGTTCAAACACAGCAAAAGCAGCCTATACAGGAGCATAAGACAATTTGTTTTCGGTGCTCTCCATTACGACTTCAGAGTTACAGTGCAGTAGGTGACGCCGACGTTGCATATGCATACATCTTTTCATCCGGTAATGTTATGGAAATCACAACATAAACCTCGAAAAAGTGAAGAACTGCGATACTTCAGCGTCGTCTCATGACGAGTACATTGGATTGTTGACAGTAAGTATAGAGGATAAAGTATTTGGCGTTGTTGGTTTCCTTAAAAACGAACCATGCTTCTGACTGCATTCATAGCAAGTTGAAGCTAAATAAACGGCTATTTCTCGTTCACAATATGTCTGTAACATAAAAGAACTATTTTAAAAGATTAAAACATTGATCGAACTAATTTTCGGCCCAAGTCGTTTGGAGGGTTTTGTTCTTCCTGAGCGCATGATTGGACTACGACACTGCGTGCGTTGTTGAGAACATCTAACCAATGCGCTTCACATGACGTCACAATAAGTGTGCTTTTTTCGAGAACACCTTGAAGCACGACCGCATACGATTTCTGAGGCTATTGATGCTTTTGAATATGAACGATCTGTTCTCCTCGCATCCCCATTGTCCGACGAGTTGATGATATATTCGAACACCACGTGTGTGCCCTTCATGCAGACATCGGCAGATATCATTGGGATGCTTACAACTTTAGCAGAATGCGTCTAAAAGCTTAATTCGGGTTAATATATGTTGATATTTTCACCTGCTGACTGAAGTCTGGGTTAACACTCGAATCAAACCTATGCTTTTTAACTCACTGAGTTTATAGAAAAGTTCGAATCACCCCTTTAGTAACGCCTAGTTAGACACCATAAATTCTCGGCTACCCTGTAGTGCATCCTCTATCTCTTCTGAAGCGACAGCTCTAGAAGATGATGTGATCTCATGACGTAGTACTAACTAGTGAATTTAAATTGCTGCTTGCAAAATAAAGTACATTGAAATGGGCAACATTCTACATGTTCTACTAGAATCTTTCAATAGTGGATAGCTTCGCAGCAGCAGATGGTGCTCATTAAAGCTATCTTCTTAATCACAGTGTTTATTTGAATCCCACTCTGTTATACTTTTTATAGAACACTTAAATAAGTGCAAATCTACCATCTAGGGGCACTATTTTTTTCACACGTAGTTGTTAAATTTGGAAAGTATTTGAGCAGGGACTGTCTTTTTAGCGCATCAAGGTGTGTGATGGAATTTTTGACGACATCGGTATCACGAGATATCAATCCTCCGCTCTGAGTAAACAGTTTCGTCTTTTAACTCTTATGAAATCCCGATCGTACCAGGCACGTTCGCCCATAGATCACGTTTACACTCGACCAATAGATCATGGAATCTGATTAGGTCCTTTTCATTTGTTTTTTACTTATTTTTTTCTTTCCATCTAATAGTACACTTTTTCCGCTCCCAACAGAAAAGATGCGCAGCTACCCATGGTACCGTCACCCATTTTCCTCAATCCCATATATAGTTAATTTATATGAAGGATTAAATTATAAGCCCTTCAGCGCTGATTTGTTCCCGAGTAGATGCGCCTTGCATGCAACTCCATTCATAGCATCGTTAGAGACCAATGAATGCATATCTGTGCTACACAACAGCTCGCGGGCACACAGCGGTGAGCAAAGTCCGTGATTTAATCCTCCCAAGAAAGTCTGGTACCAAATTTCCAAATAGGGAAAAATGAGAGGCTTAGTGAGCCTGATGCGCGGAATCGAGCTAATTAGCGGAAACGTGTATATTTTAGAGCACCGCTACCAACTGCCTTACATGCACTCTTTAAGGATACATACTAACGAAGACGGCCAAATAGGCTTTTAAATAAATCTCATTTCCACATATTCAGGACTACGGCGTCTATTCTGTTGCGAAAAACAAGCTACGGTACTACAACTGTGCTCCCATCAAGCAAAAAGTTCGAAGAGCAAATAAAATCACAGCATTTACGAATTCCTTTAAAAAGGTGTTTACCCGGATATTCAAAAGGCAGAACTCCACTGGTACCCAAACATCCAGCTCAGAGCTACCACTTGTGACGGATAAGACAAAGTGATCCAGAGTTCCAAAGTTTCCTCACTTCAGTTCAATATCCGTTGTGCCTACCACTTGTTATTACAATATTTTCAATTACTGAACAGCTATTAAAGTGTATTTAATCATGACGTCATTTTCGTTTTGTGGTTTTCCTGTATCATCTTGTACATAGTCATTAACTGCTTTTTTCATTGTAATGACTGCAAATGAAATCTGATTGCTTGGTTAAGTGAACAGTATTGCCAACAAACTAGCTAAATCAATTTTCGCAAGTTCAGGTACTGTAGCTGCAATAAGTAGAACTAAGTGCTTGGACAATCAAATAAGAAACTAAAATGAAAAAATGAAAGTTTCTAAATACTCCAACGTGATAAGAAGATAAGGTGCCACAGATATGCGGAACAAACCTGCAGAAGTTCTAGTACATCTTACTAGTGTGTTAGTACATCACTACAATATCCGCGAAGGCATTTGCTATACACCTACCTAAATATTGCCTAGGGGACCCTTCCTTAGATGAAACGTAGACCCTATCATCTTCATTCATTTTCTTCTTATACAATCGCCAACAACTTAGTGAATCAAGTTCATCAATAGGTTTGGCAGCTACTCGAATACCGTTATAAGGTGAAGATTGCTCCAACGTTGTTTTCCCAGTATCTCGAAATGATGGTACCGAAATGTCCCCAGATTTTCGTCAGCCACAGATGGTTGTGGATTGGAAAGAGATTTGTTCGTTTGCCACTAGGACTTTCCAGAACATCACCGATTAATACAACATTT